GAAAGATAACAAATCAACAATCTAATGCATTATTTCAAGGAACTAGAAAAGGAAGAGCAAACCAAACACAGCAGAGGAAAAGAAATTACTACAGTTAGAGCAGAACTAAAGCAAAAACAAACAAACAAACAAAATACAGATGATTAAGGAAACAAGGATTTTGTTCTCTGACAAGATAAAAAAATCTCACAATATTAACCAGAAATAGAAAAGGAGCCAAAGAAGCTCTGTAAGAAATGAAAAAGGAGATACTACAGCTGATATAACAGAAATATAACAAATAATCTGTGAATACTATAAAAATCTCTATGCACATAAACTTGAAAACATTAAGAAAATGGAAAAACTCCTGGAAACATATAATTTCCCAAGGCTCTATAAAGAAGAACTAGAACTCCTGAACAATCCAATTACAAGCATTGAAATTGAAGTAGCAATAAAATATCTTCCAACCAGAAAGAGTCCCAGACCAGTTTTCACAACTGAATTTTATTAGACCTACAAAGAAGAATTAGTACCCATACAACAAAAATTATTTTCTAACATTGAGAAGGAAAGAATCCTCCCCAACTCTTTCTACAAAGCCAGAATCACCTTGATACCAAAGCCACAAAAGGACACAATGAAAGAAGAAAACTACAGACCAATATGCTTTATAAATATAGACACAAAAATTCTTGACAAAATTCTAGCAAACTCAATTCAGAAGCACATCAAAAAAAAAAAAAAATCAACCACAACCAAGTGGGGTTCATCCCAGTAATGCAAGGATGGTTCGACATTCACAAATCCGTATGTAGGATTCACCACATGAACAGAAGCAAAAACAAAGATCATATGATCATGTCAATAGATGTAGAGAAAGCACTGGACAAAATTCAGCACCATCTTATGATAAAAACTCTTAACAAAATAGGCATAGCTGGGACATACCTCAAAATTATAAAACTCATATACAACAAACCCACAGCCAACATCATACTGAATGAGGAAAAGGTGAAAGCATTCTCAGTCAGAACTGGAACAAGACAAGGGTGCCCACTGTCACCACTTCTATTCAGCATAGTGCTGGAAGCCCTAGCCAGAGCAGTTAGGCAAAAGAAGAAAATTCAGGGTAACCAAATGGGCAAAGAGGAGGTCAAACTATTCCTTTTTGCTGATGATATGTTCTTAAATCTAGAAAAGTACATCGATTCCACCAAGTGACTCCTGGACTGGATAAATAAGTTCAGCAAAGTCTCAGGCTATGAAATCAGTTTATACAAATCAGTAGCATTTTTATATACCAAGGACAGTCAAGCTGAGGATCAAATCAAAGACTCAATACCCTTCACAATAACTACAAAAAAAATAAAATACCTACAAAAATATTTAACCAAGGAGCTGAAAGAGCTCTACAAATAGAACTACAGATCACTGAGGAAAGAAATTACAGGTGATGTGAACAAATTGAAAAACATATCATGCTCATGGATTGGCAAAAATAAACATTCTTAAAATGTCCAAACCATCAAAAGTGATTTTTAAATTCAATGCAATCCTTATTAAAATATCATTTTTGACAGATCTAGAAAAAATTAATTCTACACTCTGTTTGGAACCAGAAAAGAACCCGAACAGCCAAAGCAACCTTAAACAAAAGGAGCAAATCTGGAAGCATCTCTTTATCAGACTTAAGCTATGCTACAAGGCTATAGTAACCAAAGTAACATGGTACTTGCACAAAAATAGAAACATAGATCAATGGAACAGAATAGAGAACCAAGATATAAAATCATCCACTTATTGCCATCTGATCTTTGACAAAGTAGATAGAAATATACACTTGGGATAAGAATCCCTATTCAATAAATGGTGCTGAGAACATTGGATAATCACATGTAGAAGATTGAAACTGGATCCATATCACTCAATTTCTCACCACACACAAAAATTTATTCTATATGGATAGTAGATTTAAATCCAAGACATGAAACCATAAAAATTCTAGAAGAAAATATAAAACCTCTTCTAGATACTGGCCTAGGCAAAAAATTATGAACAAGATCCCAAAGATAATCACAGCAACAACAAAAATCAATGGGGCTTGATTAAGTTAAAAAGCTTCTACACAGCCAAGGAAACAATCAATAGAGCAAACAGACAACCTAAAGAATAGGCGAAAATATTTGCATGCTGTGCATCTCATACAGGGCTAATAACCAAAAACTATAAAGAACTCAAACAATATCAGCAAGAAAAATACAAACAACCCCATTAAAAAGTGAGCAAAAGACATGAACAGATGCTTTTCAAAAGAAGATAGACTAATGGCCAATAAACATATGAAAAAGTGCTCAACATCACTAATCATCAGAGAAATGCAAATCAAAACCACAATGAGATATCTCCTAACTCCAGTGAGAATGGCTTTCATCGAAAAGTCCCAAAAGTATAGAGCATCCAGTCCATGAATGTAGAGAGACAGGGACACTTATACACTGTTGGCAGGACTGTAAATTAGGGTAACTTCTATGGAAAATAGTATGGAGATTCCTCAAAGAATCTCTTAGACCTTGAGTAGACATACCATTTCATCCAGCAATTCCCACTACTAGGTATTTACTCAAAGGAAAAAAAGTCATTTTATCCAAAACATACTTTCAGTAGAATGTTTACTGCGGCACAATTCACAATGGCAAAGATATGGAATCAACCCAAGTACCCACCAATTCATGAGTGAATTAATAAAATGTGGTATATGTATACCATGGAGTACTACTCAGCCTTAAAAAATACATTAATACCATTTGTAACAATCTGGATGAACTGGAGATCATCCTCTTAAGTGAAGTATCACAATAATGGAAAGGCAAACACCACATGTACTCACTATTATATTGGACTAACTTATCAGCACTCATGTGCACAGATGGAAGTAAAACTCAACAGAAATCATGCAGATGGGAGGGAGGAAGAGAGGATGGGTGAAATCATACCTAACAGGTACAATGTACACTATCTGGGTGATAAGCACACTTATAACTTTGTCTCAAGCAGTACAAAATCAATCCATGTAACCAAAACATTTGTACCCCCATAATATTCTGAAATTAAAAAATACTATTTATATTGAAAATTAAGTTTGATTTTTTGTTATTCAGACTTTTGGATAATATACAAACAGCTAATACATGAGCAGAACTTATTTGATAGTAATAGGATACACTAAATTCACAAGCCAAAATAATTAGAATGCTTGATTTATAACATATAAAAGGAAAATAGATTTGGACTGTAAACCATACAGTCTCAAGTGGACATCTATAGATGCTGTCCCCAGTCTAATTATAAAATAGTATAGAGCTTGCCAAGGTAAATAGCACAGCCTATATAATTCTTGGCCAACTCTCTTATAAAGCAGATGGAACCAACAATACAAAGAACAACAAAAAAGAAGTTTCTAATAAATCGTTTTCTCTCTAAAGTTGTATAAGAAGAAAGATCACTTTCTCATTTACTAGCTTACCTTTTGGTGAGCTTATTTTTTTCTTGATCATACATATTTTTACGTATTATGCTCTACTTATGCATTCTTCCATAGCATCTTTATTTATGAGTTTGTGAATCAACATCTTTGTGATAGGAGCTGAAAGTCACTTAGCTAATTACACAAGCTTGATAAGCTGCATAATAATAACCACTGCAGTATTGTACATTAGTTGAAAGCATGTAAATTACTGCAGTTACTTTCATTTGGGGAAAAAAAAGAGACTTTTTAAAAGTTGTTAAAACACCCTTGTTTCCTCCATATCCATCTTCTTAAGTATACTGTGCTTTTAACCCAAATCATGGCATCAATACAAAATTAAGGTTAAATCACCTTCTACTAGTATTGTTTAAGAAATAAGAGCCAAAACAAAGCAAAATTCAATTTAATTCAAATAATTCTGGTCCATGATTAAGATTTTTTTTTGTATGTAGTGTCTTCCATATAATGTAATCCTGGTAAAACAGAACAGTTTAGACAATCCTTGCCCCACAGAATGTTGTAATGAAATCTGACTTGGTCCAGCCAGTAGATTAAAAGTGCATAGAGAGATAGAATGTGCAGCATTAGAATATTAATATGACTTCTGTATGTAGATTGGAAATTCTACAAAGTTATGAATAAGGTCAAAATAACACTTAGATGATTTACTGCCATAGAAAATCATACTCTCCTATGAGTGATTTACTGAATGTTATATAAAAATGAAGTGTGGACAAGCTACATTCAGATGCAAGCTTGCAGCTGTCAGTGTCTACATTTACTCAATCTGGCTAGAGGATGATTTGAAGGTTGATTTAATTGTAGCTTCTGAATCATGCACTTCCCTATGTTTTAAATTGTTTAACATAAATATAAAAATGTTAAAGTAATTTTAAGACTGTAAATATTTAGTATAAAATCTGCAAAATCTCTTCTGGAAGAGTTACCGCAAATGAATAGACTGGAAAAAATTCCTGTTGCCTAATAATGATAATTGCCCAATAGTTATTGCAAATTTACCCTTAGGATGAAAAAATGCATAGGGTTTTCAGAAGGATCTAAGAATAAACAAAAAACTAGGCTTTTGACTGAAGTGATCAATTTTAAGAGAAACACAAATCTATATCTGGAGAAAAGAGTTCAGAGATCAAAGTGACCAGTTAGTAAGACAGCATTATTTGGGTTCCTTACAGGCATCCTAATAGCCTAGCTAATTTTTCCTCTATATGCAAATTCAAAGCAGAGATTCAACTCTTGCCAATGCCACTAGCACTACAACACACGGCACCACCAAGGAGTTTTCCTAATGCTATCTACTCAGTCAGCGCTCTCCTAAACCATCTTTCTATTCCTTGACAGACTTCATTAAATTCCAAAATATCACCTAACCGTTCACTTCCCAGCACCAGGAAATCATCCTTAGGGAGAGTATCTTGTTCTTCCTCTGCGAGCTTTTTCCCCCATTTTTTATTTCCACTTTTATACATACCTCCTTTTCTACATATTTTCTTGCCGGGTTTTCTGGCACATTCCTTGGATATTCTTTTTACTGAAAAATGAATAGAAGACTAGAAAATAACATGGCGCTCCATCACAGACCGCCGGAACATGCAACACCACTATCTAACTGAATACACTCCTGCATTTACTGAGTGCGAAAGATCCCCAATTTGTTGAGCCTGCACATGCAATGAGGAAATGTTGATGCATCTTCTTAGAAGTCATTTGGTAGGAAATGGAAATTAGGAACCCATTTCTACCTAAATATACGTGCTGTGGAGGAGAGAGGATGAGAAAGCATAGGAAAAAAATAAAACAGATACAGACACACACAAACAAAAAAAGCGGCATGCAAGCATGTAAAATATGTCTACATGCCAATAGGAAAAGCCATGCATACTACCAGTACACATGAATTAATATTGTTAGAACTGAGAATAGAAAAGAAAAATATAAATATATCTTCCTGTTTTTCCTGCAATAAACTCACCATCCTCGGTTGGGACATATATGTTTAAATATAGGCAGTCTTCACTCTGGTCTTGTACATATGATGAAACCACATCCAGGTTATTAGTAAACCACACGGGAAGCATGACTTCTGGCAATCTGCCATCAATGATATTCTGGGGACACACAGGAGCAAATTGAGTGGCATTCCTGATATCTGACCAGGGAGATGGTGGCTCTGGAGGCTGAAATCGATGTTCTCCTGTTGGTGGGGCTGCATATGGAACCCCAAGAAACTGAATAACAGGCCCCAAAATTTCATTATTGAGTTCCTTCTTAATTCCTCTTATCTTGCCGAAGTTGGTAGTTACCAATGGGTCCACATCATCCAATTTTTGTGATAGCACATGGCCAGCCTGAAGCAAACATCCCAACATGTAGACAGTCAACGAGGTACCCAATCCCCTGTGTACCAAGCATGCCATCACTGCTCTCCAAACATAATTTGGCCACATGTATCTTGGCAGTGCCATGGTCCCACATTAGTTGTCTAGTTGTCTGGTTACAGTGAGGCAAATGTATTTATATCCGCTTGAGAAAGACCGTATAATGGTAGTATGGCTCTGTTTTCTTACAGGTGAGCTTGTCAAGAAAAGCTCAGAAAGATCTTCATGCAGCAAGTATTTCCCATTGACTTCACAAGTATTGAAGAAGCATCTTCAATTATCACCATTTATTAGACCATATCCTATTGACCATTCTCTTTTCCAAAGTAGCAACGTGGCAAGAGTAGGCATTGACTGTAGATTTCCTTCTTATAAATCAAATCCAGTTAGCTGTGGGTCTATGTCCTAGAGAAAAATGAAAATAAATCATAAGTTGAAACAGGCCAAAATAGCAGAGTGATAACTAGATGTTTTACAAGCTACAGAAATACACTAATAGTGGCTAGCTTCAGGTAAGTTAAATACTACCATAGGAAAATCATACTTTGATGTGAGATGACAAGTGAGATAACTGATTATTAGATTATTGGGAAACTTGTCTGCTGACTTTATATATAGAAGTGAAAGCAGGCCTTGTCAAAATATATAGTTTCAGAAACATGTCACAGTAAAGTATTTTTAAATACTGCATGAACTTTCTCCTTTATTGTCTTCAGTCACTTTAAGTGACTATAGAATTAATCAACAAATATACTCAAAATTAAAATCCAATAACAGAAAACATTTAAGAAAATGATAGTGAGTTAGTGTAACAGAAACAAACTCTGGAAGAATGATTATATATATTAAAAACAAAGCAACAAACCAAAAGGTAGTTCTCAATTCCATGTTCATCAAAACAAACAAACAAAAAGGTAATGTCAGAACAAGAAAACTAATAAAATTTCAGCTATGATTATTTAAGTGCAACTACTTCATAAATTCAACTTCCTTGTTATCTCTCAAAAGTTTGTGTAAAATTTTGATTATAGGTATCCTACCTTAAATTAAGATTAAATAATTTAAAAGAGAAAATGGCATTACATACAATTTGAAAAAGATACAGAAGCTGGAATTATTTTTCACAGACAAAAGTTATTTTATCATCTAGTTATATATTTTAGATATCAATAAATTTGAAACATGAAATTAAATTTCTGAGTCAAAGTCAATATATTTTAAATTACAATTTTTTTTCACTGTCTGTTAGAGATCAAAGGAAGAATATGAAAAGGGTGCATTAGTTTAAAAAAAATCATAGCTAATCATGGCATTTTGCATATTAACATTAATCAAACATCTAACACTGTTTATCCAGTTCAACTTAAAATGCATCAGAGTAAAATGTAACATTCAGTGCAATACAATTCACAGTGTATGCTTACTGCTAAATAGCATACAGCTCAGAAAATTTGTCTTTTCTTGTCCAAGCAACATTTTAAAGTGCTTACTTTGAGAATAATAGTGTTGATTTGTATTAGAGATGGTTCTAGCTTGTCATATTATGGGAAGATTCCTGAAGAAGTGCTAGTCTGGCAGCGAGACTTCCCTGGCTATGAGTTATTTAAAAGGAGACTGTAAAAACTACATAGGGCAGCAGGAGATTTGGGTCTGGCCTGGTGTTCTTTTAGCTCTGAACAATCCATCACAGAGGGCAATAAGAAGATAATGTTTTTCTTCAAGAATACTTTAGTCTATGTTAATTCTCATACCTTTGCTGTCAGAGCACATTAACATACAAAAGACAGACTTAGTTCTATCTCATTCCTGTTCCAGAACCCCAGTATTTTTGGAAGATTTAGCTACGCAAACCCATTTCTGTAAAGAATATATTATGCTTCTTCTTATGCAGAATGATGGTGGGCCACAGCATGAATAAGTCTTTGCTAGTTACCTTTTGGTGTTAAAAAAGCATCATTTTAACACCTAAAATAGAGAACATGTGGTGAGACCTTAATAGTCTCCATCATCATTTTTAAATTCAGCCTAATTTTCAAGTACTGTACAGCGATTTCCGAAAGTTCTTCTTTACGAAACTAGTATCTCATCAGTAATAAAAAATACTTGTTTGGTTATTAAAATGTAACACCCCTTTTTTGTACTCACAGATTCTTAACTGTATTAAGAAGAAAGGGGCTCCTGTTTTTCACTGATGTGCTAGTTTAACACAGATTGCAGAGGATTAGAATTCTGCATGCTGTGATTAATTTTCAAATTTCAATGTCATTTAGCTCCTGAGGTTACAAAATATCCCATTTTACATGTATGTATGTATAGAGAACTATAGTATTGACCCCCCAAAATTTTCAGAAGTTGCTATTATAATAACAGTTATTCTCAACTCACATGAAAATATGGCTTGTTTAAATTACTATAATTTATAATATAAATTCCTAAGTAGAAAGAGTCTCACATTTCTTGACAGGTTTTCCCCTATTTATTGGTGCTTTTTTAGTGTGTACTATATGCTTAGTTTTCATGCAGTTACATGTCATTTACAACAACCCTATAAAATAGGTTCAACAGTTATCCCCTTTTCATTCATGAGGACCAAGATTAAACACCTTGGCCAAGGTCCCTGGGCTAATCAGTAGCAGATCCAGGAGCCCATTGCCATCTGATACAAAGGCCGTCCCATCCTCTTGATCACTACACGTAATACAGTCTCTCAATTCACAATTAATAACTTCTTAAAATATTGAGTGTATTTACAATTGAATTGTAAAAGTGTTTTATGTTTCTTCAGGAGACAGAGTCTGGGTAAATGCTCTGACAATTTCATAGAAACAGAGAAATAAAAATGGTCTAGTCTATTCTTATTCAAAGTTTAAATTTTATTTGGCTATTTTTTTCACTTTTTTACTCTATATTGAGTGGAGTAATCAGTTGTTTACATGTGATTACACAAGATCATGTTAAACAATAATTTGTGTAATGATATGGTTACTTTTTTAACAACCAAAAAAACCCCTAAATTTATGACAATCTAAATTTTCATTAGTAGATATTGATAAATAAATTATGATACATTCACAAATTGAAATCCCATATGTCAGCAAAAATAAAGGAACTAGACCTAAAGTATCAATATAGATAAATCTCAAAATTTTTAGCAAAACAAGTTGCAGAAGATTACGTACAGTAAATACTATTTAAATAAAGCTTAAAGTATGCAAAACAATACTGTACATTATTCACAGATACATAAAGACATAGTAACAGAAATAGTTGTCATTTCTGGATAAGAAGGAAAGAAAATAAATTCTAGCAATTAATTAGTTAATCGGTTGAAATTAGAGATTGGTAACTTCTAGTGAGGCCTTAAAATATAATTAACTACAGCAAGTTTGAAAAAAATTTTAGCATTTGATAGTGTTGGGTGAAACACACACACACACACACATACACACGCACACACGAGCACACACGAACACACACACTTATAGAATTCTCTTGTATTTTTCTGTGTGTTTGAAATATTTTTAAATAAATATATTAAAATAATGGGGTCAGAAAACTCTTACTCAGAAGACCAAGCAAGTCCCAATTACCAATAGATTAGCCTATCAATCTACACAGGAGTAGCCTCACCTGACTTTGCAGGTAGTGGAGATACTAGCTCATAAATTCCTCTATTATTCCTCCCTTTAAGTTAAAGCATGTATAGTCTCTCCAAAAAAGTAAAATAAAATAAAAAATAAATAATATTTTAAATGGCCACATAAATGGCAATATATTATCTTACTTACATCAATTCATCAAAATAGTTGATCCCTCAACTAGTTTGTTCCTGAGGGACCCAGGGAAAAAAGTAAAGATAACTGTATGGGACATTAGATAATTAGAGTGAATAGCCACATTCATCCAATCTTTCATTCACTCAAAAAACACTTATTGGGTATTTACAGCATGCAAATTATGTACTAAATGTTATGGAGAATTTAAAGACAAATATAATCTACTCATTGCTTACAATATTGTAAAGGAATAAGTAACATAAAAAAATGGCTGTCAGGATGTAAAGCAACGTGTTCAATAAATGCATGATGAATGTGGATGTGGGACTCAACTGGAAGTTTCTGACTTTGAACTTTACATAGCGTTTTATATGTCTTTTAAAAAAATACTACCTATTTATTTTCCTGTTTTGATTTTATTGTTTGTTTTTGTTTTATTGTTGAGCCCAACTCCTCCCTACTGAATTTCATATTTGAGGGCAAGGACTTTGCGTGTGTGTTTTAAAAAATATCTTTATATCCATCATAAAATCTGTATGGAAATCCTTTACATAGTGCAGGCATGAGTAAATCTCAGTTGGTCTAGATTCACTGCATGCTTACTTACCACTAGAGCTGCCTGGAGCTTGATGGTGACCCTTAGCCAATGCTGTATAATACACAGTAGATCCTTGTTGTTCATGGTAGTTCTGTTTTTGTAAAGTCACCATGAACACTAAATGAGGGATCACAGATCCATTACTCCTAGGGAAATACGTATATATGTGGGCATATATATACATAGCTCACATACATTATAGATAATCTTAAACCCTTAAAACAACTCATCTTAGTAGATTCTATTTTCCCTATTTTACAAAAGAAAAATTGAGGTTCTGAAGTGTTAAGTGCCTACAGCCACCCCACTAACAGGTGCTAGAGATTCAAAAGAAGAGTTGAGTCCATCTCCAGCTACTGGATTAGAAAAAAGTTCATAAATCAAGAGGAACTTGAGATGGGCTTAAAAGAATGAATATGATGAGGACAAACATTGACGATCACAGAAAGGATCCCAGACAGAAGGCACATTCTAAGGACAGCGGAAAGAACGTATAGTGGACACTGTGGAGCTCACCCTCCCTGGGGGCAGCTCACATTCCATGACTGGTCCATGCCATTGTACAAAGGCCTGGGCTCCTTGCCTCAATGCAGAACAGCTCACAGGGGCCACTACAGCCCCACAGCTCCCCAGGGAAATGGGCAGAGGGAAGAGATGTTGGAGATTCTTTCACTCCTTTGAGGCTGTGGTTCCAAACGGTGCATCTCAATAAACTCATTGCAGGCAAACCTTCATCTCAAAGTTTGTTTTCCCCCTAGAAAGCCTGACTTATGACAGAAAGGGCAGAAAAAGGCTTGTTTGAGGAGGATACAGTCTAGTTTGGCCAGAACACAGAGCAAATGAGAGTGAGCATTGGATAAGACTGGAAAGGCAGGCTAGAGCCAAATCAAGCAAGCCCTTCATTAAGAGACTAAAGAACTTGGATTTTATTCACTAGATGATGAAAAGCCATTAAACATTTCTAGCAGGGGGAAAGTATTATCAAATTTATTCACAAGAAAATTAAGCTGGCAATATTGTGGAGCAGAGATCTCCAAAGCAGTATATTCATACTCTATCACAAGATGATCAGATGAGATAAGGGAACTAATAGTGGAACTTCTATTTACCATAACTTTTTGCATAAAACCAAAAGAGAAACTAAGCTTTGCTAATATGAGTATATGAGTTAACACCAATGTCTTCACATTGTTATGTGATATACTTAGCATTTGAGGTGTTATTAAGAAGTAGATAGTTTTATAATGCATTAGATTTGCCAGCAGTAGCATTTTATTGTTACTTGTCCATTTTCAATGTATAGCGATGTATTACAGTTGCATCATTGCACAAATAGATTTGTACATTTTTTAATCTAGTTGCAATTAAAGTAAACTTTACAAAATGGACTACTGGATTAAGTTTCTTCCATAAGATATATGTAGATGAAAGGAATTACTAGAAATATAATCATAAATAAAAACAATTAAAGGACAGAAGTGAAACTTCTACTTTTAATACAAGCACCTCTTTAGCTGTTTTACAAGATTAAAAACAATAGCTAGCTAATCAAGTATAATAGCAAGTCAGACAAAAATATTTGAAAACCTCAAGAAGACTTGAAGTGTGAATTTACATCCATTTCATTAGCTCTGAACAGTGCCCTAAGAGTCTTTGAATCTCTAGGTTTTGAGATACTAATGAATGATGAAATGAAGGCATGAGGATTTATAAGACATTTAAAAATACTGTTTTTATCTTTCCCATCTTCTTAATGTTTATTTTTGTGTATGTTTTGCAATTTGGTGACAGAAATATTTAAGTAGGAATATATGTATACATTTTATGTTTTAGGGTTTGGTTATCAAAAGTACAGATTACATGATCACAAAGGTGTAGGAACCATTAACTTAGTGAATAGAATGGTGAAAAAAAATCCAGAAAAATCTTTAATTCCACATTCAGTTTGAAGTATCAGCTGGATACAACCAGCTGATACTTCAACAGCGATTACAACAACAACGATTATATGAAAATGACAATGAAAACAGCAAATATTATAGATCACCACCTACTTGCCAAGTGCTGTTCAAAACACTTTACATGCTTCATGTCACTTAGTCTTCCCAACAGACTTATAAGCCAAGTACTCTTATTTACAATAAGAGAAACGAGGCTTAAGGCGTTAGATAACTCCCCAGGCCACAAAGACTGGAAAAGGCAGATCTAAGAAACAAAGCCAGGATGACCTAATTCCAAAGAACATGCCCTGAACCTTTATGAAACAGAACATTTTGCTTTTCTCCTCAATGAGACCAATTCAGAAAGTCATGCTCAATTTGAGGATTTGAGGAGAGTGAAACACACAAGATAACAACAGAAGGAAAATAAAAAGGCTTCTGATCAGCTTGCTGGGGGGTAGTTAATAGGCATAATTTGCAGCAGCTTCAAACAGTGTGCTATTGAAACTTTTTGCTGCAACATTTGATGGCCTGGGACAGAGAGTAAATAACTGAAGTCAGGATTGGGGATAAGAAAGGCAAGAATGATATAATTGCAGGGAGCAAAGTTTACAAGAAAAGGTAACTATAGTGTTGAATAGATGAACTAAATCTGAGTACGGAGGCAAGCAGTGCCAAAAAAGTACAAGAGGAAAAAAATAATGAATTAGAACCAAGGTTAACAATGGTCTATTCTGAGATAAGAATATCAAAATTGAAGACCTTGATTACATAGAAGTTCAAGGGATGCCAGGGCTCATGTCATGACCATATCAACGTGTAGCTATTGAGAATAATGTAGTAGCAATATCTTCTGCCATGGGCACCGTTAAGTAATAACTGGATTAATGTTAAGCACCAAATGAGTATGTACTGGGGCTAAACATCTAGCTAACTGCATCATCTCACTTAATTGTCTCTAAATACCACCGAGGTATGATCATTATCATCTCCTTGTAACAGATAATTAAATTGAAGTCAGAAACACAAAGCCACTGTAACATTCTTCAATAAAACAAGAGCACAGTTTATGGATGCAGCAAACTCCAATAAATAGAGAGAGCTAAGGCAGAAGAATTAACACTAAAGATAAAACCTGCCTCCTTCTCAATTTTGCCCAGAGCCTCCTTCTGGGAGAAAGGGTGGGAAGATTTCAAGAGTTTCTCAGAGTTACATCCTACTCACCCTTTCCCTGCAGAAAATATAAGTGGTTCTATTTGTTCTCTCTCCCCTGGGGCTACTTTGACTCTAAATGTACCTCTCCAATGACGTAAGAAAATAACAGAGAAAGTAGAATGTTAAAAAGAAAAGGCAAACTAAAACTTGACAGTAATAGGAGAAAAAATCTTACCAACAAAATATTTTAAATAGTAACAAGGAATAAAACATGAGTACATTGCAGAGGTTATACCTGCTAGCAAACTATCTTTGTGAATAAATAATATTAATGGAAGGCAAAACAGAGCACTGGGAGGAGTGCTCAGTGAATTAGGCCCAACTCAAGCTCTTCCTTCCTGGAGAATACTGTCCCCATTAGTTTCTTCCTGGAGAAACGCCAGCTAGCACCCCTCAAGGCCTGGCTATAAGGTCAATAGGTACTTCCTTTTCTCATCAATCCAGCCATAAAAACATTCCCTTCCCTCATATCTCAAAACACTTATTACCTTTCTTGTAACTGAATATATAGTACTTTTTTTTTCAGGATATTATAAAGGTACAAACATTTTGGTTACATTTTATGACTTTTCCTCACCCAAGTAAGGATTAGAGGCATGCCCTTACCCCTACATCCCCTCTACAATGCTGACTGCATCCATTAGTTGTGAGTTTACATCCCCCAACCCCTAATCCCTGGAGCATATTACTACCATGTGAACACCATAGTGTTGATCAGTTAATGTCAGTTTGACAGCGAGTACATGTGGTGCCTATTCTTCCATTCTTGTGATACCTCACTTCAGAGGATGGGCTCAAGCTCTATCCAGGAAAATAGAAGAGGTACTAGATCACCGCCATTTCCTATAATTGAGTAATCATATATTACTTTTTATCATGGTAATTTGTAACCTCAGCTTCCATTTTCCTTATTATATTTGGCAAATATTTGTACCAGGCATTGGAGAGGCCAGCATGAGTAAGACAGGAATAGTGCTAATTCTCATGGACAATACATTTCAATAGGGAAGACAAACTTTATATAAGTAAAGTACACAGATAACTATTTAGTCATAAATGCTACACCAAGAAGGACAATACAGGGTGTTCTGAGGAGAAATTTAAAAGTCTGGAGTGGAAAGGAGGACCTTCTTGAAGAAGTGATCTGTAAACTGGGTTCTGAAGGATGAGTAGGAGGTGCCATTTGAAGACCAACAGGAAGCCCAAATGCTGTGAAGCCTAGGGCTTTCCAAAGGGATCAGTGTAACTTGAGAGAAGAATGGGGCATCTGGCTGGAGAGGAGAAAGGACCTGACAACTCAAGAATGTGTAGGCCATTATAGACATGTGAGATCATGTCACAAGTATGATGAGAATAAGTATAATCACAAAATAATTATAATCACAAAAATGACAAGATCAGATTACCCTTACTGTTTAAGAATAGAGGCTACATGTTTTAAATTGTTGGGTTTTTATAACTAACCCCATAATAATGCATTACATCATAGATTCTTAGAAAATACTTCCTGAATGAATGACTCATTAATTCATTATACTATTTTTCATCAATTAACACAACACTCAGATTTTATTTATCCATCTGTGATGCCTGACCTCTGTGAAGGCATTAGCTTAATTAGACTTGCAGCAAGAGGGAGTGAAACAGAGAAGAGGTGGAAATAAAGTACAATAGAAATTCCTCATCACGCAGGAATGTGAGTAGATAACCATATAGTCTGGCAGCTAATTCCATTATTGTTTTTCAAAAAAAAAAAAAGGGATTTTAAGATGCCATAACAGCTTTTCTGACAACACAAAAGGAAAAGAGATTAAATTGACAGCATTTCCTTCTGCATTATACAACTAAATATTTCTGCTGTAACCATCATTATGACTAATAGCTAAATATTGGAGAGTTTCTTCTTTGTTCTTTTTGGAAGAGAAAGGGAGTTGAGGAAAGCCATTTAACATGAACTAAATAAAATAAGTTTTACCTTCTATTTACTCTGAACTTACTCTCAGGTAGAATCTCTAAATATTGGAGTCTACTTCAGAAGCCTGACTCCAAATGAACAGAAAGGTAAAGGGGGTGAGTGGGAGAGAATCAATGAGACAATGTGTTTTTAAAAAGTCATGGGCAACAATTTTAATGTATATGTAAAATACTGCAGGTTATGTTTTAAAAACCAATTGGTGACCCTGTGATCCCCCAGAAGAAAATGAATAATCACTCAAAAGCTCAGGAGAGACAGCCAGGTAGAGCTGATTACTTCCCTCGATATTAAATTGATGCTTTTGTCTGAAAGGGGACATCATTGGGTCACAAGTCATTGCTTCCAGAAGCAACTTAATTATACCTGCCAGTATCTTTATAGAGAAGCTAGCACATCCTAAGAACAGTGCTACATTCTCAATTCACTCTTTAAGCTTATTTTTGCTTCTAGTGAGTTGCTCGTGCCTGAGAAGAGTGGAGAATTGCCATTCTTGGTGCCCTGCTTAATTAAATTCCTCTTAAAAAAAATCCCTTGTTGCCAGAGAACAGCTACAACTTTGGCAAAGGCAGTGCTAAGTTTCTGAGTATGGCCCTGTGCCAGGGTGTGTCAATCTTGACCCCTTAGAGGATGATTAGCAGAGAGACAGTAGTTAAACCTTTGTGCCCATTCAGTCCCAGGCTTCTGCTGGAATTGGCAAATACTATAGTGACTATTGTTTAAGGAGTAACTGTCTACTATGAACTGGACTAAGACCACCAACTTTTTTCACATAAGGCATCAAACAGCAAGTGACCGGCTTCCGGTCACTCCTGACCCGGCTTACAGTCAACCCTTAGTCCACAGGGGAAAGAATATTACTCTAGCAGTCTTCTTTAGATAACCACATCTTTTATTTTCTCTCATATCACAGTTCCATTAGTACTAATAACAATAACAAAATTCAAAACCATGCCCTGTTCATGGGCTGTTTGTGCAACAATATTAAGGAATAGAATTAAAGAAGAATTTAATATATACATGGAGTATAGTTGCTAAATAAATTCATCATTTGAATTCAAATCAAATAATAGGGACCTTGGGTTTATAAAGTGTTCAATGTTAAAAAAATATATAATGACCATTGGTATATTTTAAATCTATTGTTTTATTGTCCATGTTCTACCCATTTGAAATAACTTTAAGTAATTCCAGAGTTCCTTGAGATATCAGGTTTTCTTCATGGCAGAAAATAATTCTAACATACCTTTCAGTAAATTACAACAACAGAAATAATCCTATTATACTTGTAGGTCTTGATTAAATAATTTATCAAAATAAATAAACTCTATATGCAGAAATCACTAAAAAGTTTCAATTATTATTTATCTTTGATTAAAAGTAATAATTGAACCAATTATTTCAAATATGAAATAATCTTTTTCAAATATGATCCTTTCTGCCTTCAGAATGTTGCACATTACTTCAAAATATTTGTCAATTCATATAACTACTGATAGTACATTTAAAAAAAAGTAAAAATGAAGAGACCAAGTATTAGTTAACTAAAGAAGTTACAACTGTAGTTGCTAACATTCTAGGCTAAAACCCACGTCTCTTGATTCATTCAACAAATATTTATTGATCCCCAATAATGTGTGAGACACTCTTCTAGGGGCTGGGGGGGAACACACCCAGCTTTGAAAAAACCAGACAAAAATCCTCTACCATCTTGGAGGTTATACAGACTACTACTATATTATTATTTTAAAATGTAAAATGCTTTCTTCCTCAAATACTGTTATTAAAGACCACAACTCTAAATGATAAAAACTTTTGGTATCAATCTCAACATATGTATTAAAACACTTGCTATGGCTAAAGAGGTAATGAAACTGGTGACTTTTTTTTACCCATAAGAAAAAGGATAGATAACACTGTCACTTGTGTGTAAAGTTTTGGACAGCTAAGTAATACAGATTTAAATTAAAAATGACAGATGCACTGACTTGAAACATAATGGTTGCTGAAGGGAACTTTTATTCCTTTTAGCAGTATGGTTAACTATTAAGTGGCTCAAGTATTATTTTCAAGGTGTGAATATTGTGACAACTATTGGTCAATGTCATATGTAGTAATCACATTTTCCTGGTCAGTCCTATCATAAGAAGGATGGTTGTTCTATGGGGAAAATTTATATTAGTGATAATCTTAACTTGATTTTTATCAAATCAATATTCTTCGATTTCATGTTTGACCTTGTTGATTTTCCAAGTATAGTGAGTATTCCATATGACAATATGAAAGTATTCACCGTGACTATTTTTTTAAGAAGCAACAAAAATTTTCAACTCACTTTTAAATATTACAATTAACCTCATTTCTTTTCCTGAAGACCCAACATTCATTGGGTGTGTCAAGGAAGAAAAAAGAATCACTGCTGTTACATTTCTGTATAAAAAATGAATCAGTATATCAACTGTATGTTTCCAACAAGCCAGTTGTTGAGGAATGTACAGAAGACCTTCCTATCAT